AGTTCCACCAGCAGCATGTCTGTAAGTCTAGCACCCCGCGCCACCTGCCCAAGTCGTCATTCACTGTCTTCCTCTACTAACACCTCACTGTAGTTCCACATTGAGAACGCAGCCGTCGGCGATCCCCACAACTCAGAAGACTGGCGCATTCGTGGCTACAACCCCCTCACACCGCCTGATCTGCTGCAGAGTGAGATCCCCCAGACAGCCAAGTCCCGCGACACAGTACTCAAGGCTCGCGACGAAGCCGTCGCCATTGTCCAGGGCAAAGATGCACAGAAGCGACTGCTCGTCGTCATCGGCCCGTGCTCTATCCACGATCCCGCCGCTGCCCTCGACTACTGCGACCGCCTGCTGAAGCTCAAGGAAAAGTACCAGGATGACCTCCTCATCGTCATGCGCTCATACCTCGAGAAGCCCCGCACCACGGTCGGCTGGAAGGGCCTGATCAACGACCCCGACATCGACAACAGCTTCAAGATCAACAAGGGTCTGCGCATCTCGCGACAGCTTTTTGCTGACTTGACGGAGAAGGGCATGCCGCTGGCGAGCGAGATGCTGGATACCATCTCGCCCCAGTTCCTGGCTGACATGTTCAGCGTGGGAGCCATTGGCGCCAGAACCACCGAGTCGCAACTGCACCGTGAACTCGCCTCTGGTCTGTCTTTCCCCGTAGGCTTCAAGAACGGCACAGACGGCACCCTTGATGTTGCCATCGACGCCATCGGCTCAGCTAAGCACCCCCACCACTTCCTCTCCGTCACCAAACCCGGCGTTGTCGCCATTGTCGGCACAATTGGCAACGACGACTGCTTCATCATCCTGCGTGGCGGCAAGAAGGGAACAAACTACGATGCAAAGAGCGTCAAGGAAGCGCGTGAGAAGCTCGAGTCAAAGGGTATGAACTCGCGCCTCATGGTTGACTGCAGTCACGGCAACTCGGAGAAGAACCACATGAACCAGCCCAAGGTTGCCCGTGCCATCGCCGAGCAGATTGAGGCCGGTGAGACGGCCATCATGGGCGTCATGATTGAGAGCAACATCAAGGCTGGTACGCAAAAGGTGCCCAAGGAAGGGAAAGCTGGTCTCGAGTACGGCATGTCGATCACGGATGCGTGCATCGACTGGGAGACCACCGAGACGGTGCTTGAGGACCTCGCTGCAGCTGTGTCAAAGAGGAGGACGCTTCTTGGCCAGAATGGTGCAAACTAAAAGGACGCCAGTCTTTCCATGAAGAAAAAAAAGAAGGGCACGGCAGGCGTGGCGTATACAAGGCATGGTGCATGGCGTTTCCTCTTTGCTGTTCAAAAGCCGTTTGGATTAATGGCGAAAAAGATGAATTATTACGATACTACCCAAATTAAAAGTTGCTAAAACAGAGAAAAAGTTATGCTACACATCACAACTCTTCAATCTCGGGTTCTTGTTCTTCTGTATCGTCACCCATGGTGTGTCCTGGATACTTGTCGTACCAATCTCCTGGGTTGCCGCCAGGCATGCATAGTCCCAGTCGCCAAAAGTAGTCGCGATGGGCAAAGAAGAGCTGCCAAAACTTGAAGCGAGTGGGCACTCCCCACGCGGGTTTTTCTTCGTCGCTGCCCGCAATGCACTGCATGTCTTCGTCTCCATCGCAGAAGTGAACATCGGCGACGGAAAACGGTAGGCTAGATTCTGAGATGAAGATTTCTTCGCTATGCATGCTGAAGCCCCATTCAGTCAGGGGTAGCAAAGGCACGGGGTCGCCAACGTGGGTAACGCGGTGGATCTTATTATGCTGGTGGTTTGCCGTAACGTTGAAGCGCTCATCAATGTATGCGTTGAACTCCTTATTCCCTAGCCTAGGTTCTCCAAACGTTGTCACATGAGGATCCCAGCCACGTGCTTTGAAGTCCAGACCAGCCAGAGTTGCTACAGCGCCGCCCAACGAGTGTCCCACCAAGACCAGCTTATACTCCGGATACTTTTCTAGGGCTTCGGAGACATACGGTAGGATGACCCTGCGCGTGTTGAGCCAGGACGAGTAGAAGCCTGTGTGGACGGTGCAATTCTCGCATTTCGGCGGTTCTGCGGGAGGAGTGTTCCCCTCCGCAACGCCCTCCGCGACACCGACTCGGGGGGTGAGAAAGTCCGAATCGCCGCTGTCTGAATCATCGTCGCCTGGATACGGGATGTATTCCTGGGGTATGGTGGACAAGTCCGCAATAGTGTTTGCGATGGAATAGGTGCCACGGAACGCGATAATCAGTCGCGGTTCCGCAGGGTGGTGCGAGAGAGCAATGTAGCCGCACGAGTCGGACAGGAAAGGACCAGTATTCCATGCCTACGTGTACACACATATATCAGCACATAAGTAATGCGACGCATGCTGACGTGCAGCGACTCACCTTGACTAGATCAAAAGTCTCAAAGTCGCGATCCGCACAGCGGCTTGCGCATGTAAAGGGCTTCTTTATGCCCAGTCCTGCAGTGCCGACACAGTAGGAGATGTCGACAATGCGCGCGAGTTCTTCGAGCTCCCAGAAGAGATCCTGGGGAATGATGGTGGCATTATTGCCAGTGGCTTTTGCTGTTCCGCGGACCAGCGGTTGCTGTGTCGCATCGGCCTGGGGGCTAGCGGCCCAGGACGTAGCGAGGGTGAGATAGCATAGGAGCAGGCTGCGTAGAGAGCCCATCAGTAAGATGCTTCACATATCCCGTATGTAGAGCGGCGATGAAGGGCGGGCGTAGGCTTGGTGGTGAGGTCAGAGGACGAATGCGGACGTGATCAGGATCAATCAGCAGTTGGTCGCGTCACCGCCGAGGCGCCTAGACAGCGCCAAGCCATGGACCCTGAAAAAGCAGCCTATGACATCACGGGCGCCGCTGGACGAGAGCCTTCTGCTAGTTCCATATTTGGGCCATGCGGGCTGCCCGCTGCTGACACACGACACAAACCTTCACCCTTACTTTATACTAAACTCCGCCTGTCCATCCAAGACTCTGTCCCACCCGTTGGCTTCCGGACAAGACTCTCCCCGTTTCTTAAGTAATCATCACTGCCGGTGCTTCCGATTTTTTCTTTGCTCGAGGCCCAAATACCACCGTACTACCACCGACGCCTTATTGCTACCGCAACAATGGTTTCTGAACAAAGGTCAACAGACGCCTTAAGGGCGACGGAGGACGCTCGTCCTACCACTGCAGACCGAATAGACACTACGCCAGTGCCAACCGTTCAGATTGACGGTGTAAGCGACGACAAGGAACAAGCATCAGACATGACCGCTGCCAATAATACAACAAGCCTCAACCCAAGCGCACAGCCAAGTCGCGCTCCATCGCCAAACCGACACGCTCTCTTCCCCCACACCCAAGTGACATACGATGACCCCGACTTTACACGTCCGCCACCGCTCAATTACTCGCTGCGAACCCGCAAGAAGGCCATTTTCTGGTTCTGGACCCTTATCATTCTCGACTGCGTCTGCATGCCTATCGGCCTCTACTTTGGCATGTGGTACGGCCTCACTCGCGACCAATTGTCCGCCAATGCAGTCTTCAGTATCAGCACCGCATTGCTAGGAACTGTGTCGATTGTTGAGTATTTCATCCGCTTCCACAGACTGTGGAAGAAGAATTCCAGCTGCCGCGTCATCGGAGCTAAGAGATGGTACCTCGACTGGTTTCACTGGAATTTGTCGGTTGGATGGTTTTTCGTCATGATTGAGCTGATTGCGTAAGTTTTCGCTGTTGTTATGTTCCATGGAATAATGCTAAATCTTCGCAGCGGCACATGTCCCCACGACCCACCCATCCGAGTCCTCGCCATGCCAGCACCAACCATGATGTTCGCAATTGGCGTTGAACTTCTCCTAGTCGACATTCTACGCATCATGAAGGTCCCTGCCCCTTGCCGTATCTCATCACTGCCACAGGGTGCCCCTCTCCGTCCTGGCATCTACGCTTACATCGAGGACATTTGCGCAGTAGACGGATCCGGCGGTACCGAGTTCCGTCAGCGATTGAACCTCCGATACCAGGCCAGCAAGGCGTTCCGCGAGATGCTCCACCGCTTGACGCTCTTTTGGGCCATTGGAGCCATTGTCACTTCTGCCGTCTGCACAGCCATCATCTTCACCATTCAGCGTGACGCTGCTTACGTGGTATGTTCTAATCTCCCCTTACGCCCTTGTGATATGCTTTTGCTAACTCAACATAGGTCGGCTGGGTCGTACCATTCCTCTGGGCAGGTATCTGGGCCGCCATCACCATCAAATGGGTCCAACTCGAACTCAAGCGCGAATACGAACAGTGGACCACGGCTCAATACAAGCTCTAGAGAGCTTTCTTTTTATCCTTTCGAGCACCCCCTTTTTTGTTGTTCGACTAATCAAAGGAAAAGAATTGCGTGTATTACTAAAATCAGAAGATTGTTAATTTTTTACATGAGTAGTACGGGCGTTATGGACACATCGCTAGGTTAATGCCTCTTTTTCTTTTTGGGCTAGGAACGTTGATGAAACAAACAGCGAGATACCACTTCTTTTTTTGCGTATGCGTATGTAGAATATCCACGTTTCATCGTTTCGGTTTGTCTTGCGTCGCCTTTCCAGTCTTTTGCAGCTCGAAAGTGATGTGTGACATCCCCCCAAAAAAACACAGAAACATCGCGCGTCTGATTGGTGTGATGTCTCAAACGTGGCTACGTAAGCCCCCCAAGATTGATGGCTGCAGATCGCACGGTTGATAACATCATTTCTACGCAATGCCCAACACCACGGGCGGGAGGGGGAAGGCTAAGCTTTTGCGCATGACATTGTCCAAGGCTTTGTTTTCTTCCCATTAGCCTAGTTTGGGGTTAGGACGGAATCCTTTGATATGGCTCGGACCCTGATTTTAACGGGCAAAGCTTAGACATCCATTGACAAAGTGATAACCACAGTGCATGAATTGAAGGAGTAGTATAGAGTTGTTATGCATGCACCAAGGACTTGGGTATCATTTCACATACACATGTACAGCTACTCTTCCGATTCTTCCATCTCTTCCATCTCTTCCAGCTCTTCCATCTTAGTATCCCCATTCTCTTCTATCTTAGTATACTCATACTCGTCCGTCGCCGCGTACCCCTCCCTTTTGCTTTTCTTTTCCCCCTTCACCCCAACCTTGACAACCTCGACATCCCAACTCTCCATATCAACAAGTACGATCTTGCCCGTAGTCTGGAACTTTGGTACACTAACAATCAGCACCTTCTGGCCCGTCGGGTCCTTTATGATTTTCTTATCAAACTTCTTTTGGCAGCCAGCAATGTATATGTGTGGGCATTCGGTCAACATGAGAGGATCGTGGTCTTGGAAGGGGTAGCACCAGAGGGTGTCCGGAGCGGTGGGGGCCACACAGCGCCAGCGGAGCATCATTTCCATTGCGTCGACCGACTTGACATGCTCAAAGTATTTTAGAAGGTCTTCAACGGTTTGGCCGCCCGTGCTGAGGACGCGGTAGCCATCGATGTCGCCAGCCCAGGGGTTTGTTACGGCGTCGAAGCCATTGAGGGTTTCGTTGCTGGCGATGGGAGGCTCGGCGTAGAGTCTGGTGTTGGGGAAGAGCGCGGGATGGAGGGGCTGTTGGGGGAGGGCGACGTTTGAGGGGTCTGATGCGCCTGGGAGCATGGTGATAGGGAGGGTAGGGAGTATCTCGCAGAGAAACTCGTCGAGGCGTTCAGTTGGTGCTGCGTTGTATGATGAGGCATCGTATCCGTAGTGTCTGGCTGCGCTTTTCTTCGCAGCAAAATCTTCTCGTGATAGAATTGGCGAGCCGCGTGCTAACGAGCCTCCTGCTATCATTAGGCGTGTTATTTTCGAGACATCTTCTTGTGTTGATGGGTCTGCCGCTTCTCCTGTCAAGTACTCTACGAGCAGATCCAGCGCCACCTCATCGTCATCTGCGCCTGTAAGCTCCAGCCCTGACACAATGGCTAACTTTCCGGCAGGCTCGCGTTTTGGTATACTTTGCTTTTCCTTTGAGAGTGCTATGTCGTCACGTTCCCAGCGCTGTGGTTGTCTCGGTAGGTCGGCGCATTGTGTTGCAATGACCTTGAATGTGCCATCGGCCTCCTCCGTACCTAACGCTGCAAGTATACACCCTGTAACAAAGTGACCGTGCAGAGGCTTGCCCGTGACTCGAAGGCGTCCCGACTCATCCTCGAGCATCATCTCGTCACCGCCAGAGGGAGATATGTAGGTATCGCGTTGAGGGGGATCGGCTATCCAGTGCTGAGGGCTGTTAGATTCTCATTTCTCAAGTCTCGGGGGGAGGGTTGTACATCTTTCCCAATATCGTCCAACACATTCGGCTTCTGTGCCATTTCCATGTACACTGTCCCTACTACCCAGCACAGTTCACCTTGTCGAACATCAAGCACCCGGTCAACAAAGCTTGCCTTCTGGCCACCCAACTAAACCTGTGTCAGCCATGCAAGACTGGCAATCCTGTATAGCCCCGCAGCCGAACAAAGCATACCTCAAAGTTGTGCCAGGCCTCCTCTGCTCTCTCTTTTACCGTCTTCTTCAGTTGCATCAGACGTAGGAAGTACATGTCAGCGAATTGTTGTGAGTAATGTCTATCGGTGCCTTGCGGTAATACGAAATGGTGGAGCGGGTTGTATGCAGATGCATTTCGAGACGGTGGGAGCGGTGCATCTTCACTGGTGTTGTTGTTAGCAATTATCCTCTGAGAGAGAAGTGGTCTTACAAAGGCTCGCCTTGAAGCAGGCTGTCTTGCAGTTTAGCCATTGGAGCTGTGGTGTAGTGAAATGGGAAGAATCACAACTATCTGAAGTTGGAAAGTTGCGTATTCTGAAAGTCGCGTCGCGCGTCATTCCGCGCCATCCCAAACAGGAAATTCAAAGGGTCCCTGTGCTACCAAAAAACGTGTATATTTTTTACATTAAAGTCAACATTAGGGTAAGACTACAATACGTTCACATCACCTCTGAATTCATATAATTTTGATTTGGTGTGGATTTGATTTGATTTGATTGTTTCGGCCTTATCGACCATAGTAGTAGTAAATCCAACCCCATCGATTTCCTTCTCAATAGGCTTCTGGGCCATCAACAACTTCCAGGCCTCGCCTCTCTTCTTAGGGATATCACTTCTCTATACATCTATTCTTCGTTGCACACAGGCAGTAGTGCGCCTCCATGCTGGTTATTTCATGTTGTATAATCTCGAAAACCGTAGAAACGCCAAATATCATGACCGTGCGCCAAATTGTAACCCGCTATAACTATTAAACATTGATTATAAAACAGGACATGTCGTTGATGGGTTTAGAGCATCTAAAGGGTTGTTAGCCAAAATTTCTAATATGTGTGGGATAGCGTAAACCTACCAGAGCAACACCGCCAGCAACAATGAGACCGAAAGCAGAGCCAGCCATGTGCGAGGCGCCTCCAGTGAAGGGGAGGGTCGATGAAGTAGGCTTAGCATTGGTAGGAGAGCCAGCGCCAGTGCCGGTAGGGTAGGGTGCCGAGGTGGCCGTGCCGTTTGTGGGAAGATTCAAGGCAGAGGTAGTAGCGGCGAGGGCAGCAACGACGGAGATGATAGAGAATTGCATGGTGGCTTTGGTTGGAGTGATGATTATTCGGTGGTGGATTGTCGAAGATGAGGGTATTGAGATTTAGTAGCTGAAGGATGTGTTTGTGGATTTGGTGTGAATGGGGAGACTTTAACTTGTGTGTGTTGATGATGGCAACTCTTATATCCCTTATAGCTCAATCCAAATATACAAACATCCTCTAGAGCACATTCTAGCCATCCCCACACGCGTACGTACAACAGCCCACATCCCAGCCATCGGCCGCCCAGCCCTACGAAAGCCTCGGCCCCACCGAAACCAGGAGATGGCCACTCGGGAGCTTGTCGGAAGCCCGTCGCACGAGGCTGGAAATATGATGGCTAGGGTTGTAACAGGAATTGCACATTGCTAAGCGTGGCGGACGTCACAAAGCGGCTGGGCCGAAGGTGTCCGGAGGAGGCTGGGGGCTAATTTTAGCATCCCCAGCCACATACACCGCCTCCTATATTGACACTCAACTCATCTCATTCGCTGCTGTTTGCCTTTTGTCGACACCCTATCGACAAGAGTTCTTCTTATCGCTCACCATACAGATCTCGTTAATGTCACGATAGAAAAAAAATCCGAGGTGATAGATTGTAAGATGGCTGGGCTCGCGCGGCCACTGTCTTGGAAAACGGATCCGTGTGGACGGCCCACTGACTTGACCAAACCGTATGTTCCGTTTCACGAAACAATCAACACCTCTCTTGCTACTGCTTACGCAACTCTGCAAACTCATTTCGATTGCGTTGGCTGTTTTGTCTGTAGGCCCGCTATTCATGTCCGCCCCCTGCCGCCGCGATGCAACGTTGGCGCCGAAAGCCACCGAAGCTTAAGTAGTACTACGTAAAGTTGCAAGCAGTTCCCGAACTGCTTACCAGGGGAACCGTTGCATCCGTACTCTAAGTAAAGACTGCACATGTGTTCGTACCTGGGCAATAGCAATTTAGCCGCCTCGACGACCAAATGGAGACAAGCAGCGAAATTATCCCGACACATTATCTCTTTGAGGAAGACTGTGAGGCCGAATGATGGATTCCGACCAACCATATCACGTGCCCATACACAATGCCTAGACTTCTTTGTGGCGATTTCTTCAAATTCGCCATTTACCGGTACTTGGCCGCAATATTCTACACTTGGTGCCCAAATCACCATCTCCTACTCACGAGATCTTGGCTGAAATATTCTAGCGCAGCTGATTGGTTGAGCTTCTGTCTTAACCAACAAGAAGCTTGAGTACGATTGCAGTGGTATATCTATGCGAACTATAATTAGAAAACTACGAGCTGTTTTGTCAGAGTCTTCGTAGGTTCGCTACGGTAATTAAGACAGTGCTTTTGATTAGCTCAGGCCCCTGGTTGAAAACAATAGGTTACTGATAGACTATCGTTAGACAGTATCTAGATAGTGGGCATGAATAGTTAGCAACAGGAGCAAACGTAGCCAAAAAAACGTCTATTTTCACGACGTATAAACCGCTACGTAGCTAGAGTGGTGTTTGAGTGGGTTGTATCTGCGTATCTGAATAGAATTTGACTGGCAAGGTTCGCAAATTCGGGCCGAAGGGGTTCAAAGAGGGCAGGTCCCTGACAACCATGATAGATTGAGTATCACGAATACACGGTCTCTTAACTTAATTACGCACTGATGCGTTACGACGCAACTATTGAATCTAGACCGGCTTGTCACCACTAAATGTTCGATCAAGAGATTGCCTGTACACACGATGTCAACATTGCGATCGTACACTGCAAATAGATAAATTTGGACAGTCTTATACGGTATGAGTACGCAAAGCAGAGATCTACATACGAGCCTGGTGCTAAAATGTCTCTCCGCTCGCCTCGCCAGCAAGATGATGCCCAAAGCTCGCTTGCTCTCTTGATTGTGATCGGATCGGATTCTCTGCTACTTGGTAATAGTAAGACATACGCCAGACAGTGGAGCTGATAAAACAAGGATATCGGATACACCTCAGCATTAGATACCTTCCTCTCCTGGTAGCTCAGGGCTAAGTGAGACCTGGAAGGATCTAATACGATGACTATTCACACGTCATCTTGCAGTCTGTGGTTAGTATGGGGCTTATACGACGTGTTTCGAGGGTTGTACTAGACAATCATCACATCCAAGCATACTCCAAGCGTCTTTAGCAGTTTGATGAAACCTCGGCTGGGTTCTTCAGTCCTAATCCGGGAGGACATTGGTTTTTTTGTGTGAATGCAATGTGATGCTGAAGCGGTGTGGCAGATGGTATTTGTCGTAAATGATAGTAAGGGTTGATCGTAGTGCACTGTTGACTTTAATATAAGTATGTATCTACCTAAGCGCAGCCGATACCATTACCTAAAGAATAAAATAGGAATTGACAAGGCTTCTCTTCGGCAGATAGTGGGTTGGCTCTATAGTAACTTCTTAGCCAGTTTCTCCCTGTTTCATCCTGAACTCTTCCAAGCCTGGTCAGTGAGTCAAATATAATCCATAGTCTATTGTCTTATCTACAAAATCTCAGAGTGTGTACACGTGAACTTTGAGAATGCAGTAGTGCATTCTTTAGTTTTGTGTGATCTGAAAACTCGGACACGAGCTTATGCGAGCGGAGCCGCTCATCACACACTAACGCAGCTCTTAAATGCAAGTCACTAGATTCAGCATCATGGTCTGTGCTGATTCCATCTCATGCAGAAAAAAAAAGCTGAGAGTATTTAATCTCCACTTCACATCTTCCTGGACCATGACGATGCATTATGCGTTGTACAGGAGGGTTTAAAATGCCAGAGCAATTAGGAAGGTGCACGAGCAATGACTGAGAGTGGAATTAGTCATAATTTGCCGAGTCTTTACGCGGAACTGAGATGCGGTAGATGTAGGGAGTTGGGTGCTTCGCCAGAGTCAACATCTGGCTTTACCTTTCGTCTCACAGTGAACGCCACGTCGTACTCACAAAGCTCTACAGCAAACTCATCTCAGCAAGAAGCAGTTTTCAATGCATAGGCTAACAAATTCTATATCCGCAAATAGACTAGAACGCTAGAATGTTGCGAATGGATAGTTTTGTTGTGTCATATCGTAGCAAAGCGTTTGCGTTATGTGATCTAGGTCAGACGTAGCTAGCAACAACTAGCATTACGATATCGCAGGTAGTCTTCGCTGGTCACTGGTCTAAACCACATGTCGCCTACAATGGCGCATTTCAGACCTCGCAATATCCCAAGATAGATTCAATTCATCTTCTGCAAGGGATTTATGTCGTTCAAGTCCGCTGCTCATGAGACTTCCTGGTGCTATCCTGGATCGGACTGTCTCGTGGCTTTCGTACAATATTGAAGTCTCTCATGTTCGGCGGCCCTGCCTTCGAGGTTCTTGGCTGTAGGAACAGCCGGAGACCTTATCCATCTTCCGCCCTTTGCGTTCCGTCCTGTCCTCGATGTGACGTCATAACGTATGCTGCGTCGCTAATGAGTACACTACTGTTATGCCTCGCATAAATGTCTAAATAGGGTCATAATTAGGTGATCGCTATAACTTCATGTCTGTGGCAAGTTCACTCACCGAAAACTCAGTGAAAACAGCTGACAGCTTCCGTCGATCACCTAATGTTGCCTTCGATGCTGTCGTCTCCTCTTTTAGCATATCGTCTAGTACGATTCAACCGAATTTCATATGCACGAATCTCCGGCAAGATTATATAACAAGGCGTCTCTTTTGGTACGATCAAATGATTATTGCAAAGATGGACGGCTTGGGTTACCCGACTGCTCAACCTATGGCCTTTTCCTAAGTTTTTCTATGATCAACTGGGTGTCTAGTGTAAATCGGAACTCAGATCTAGGGTTTCCAATTGGTACATAGCTTAATGAGGAACCCCAAGATTGCGAGGGGGTTACACGGTATTCTGAAACTTTAATGCCTGCCGGCCGTGCCGGGTTGCCAGCCGACGGGCGGAACGGATAGAGCCGCGCCCGTTCCCATCTTCCCCCTTCCCCACCACCAATCACGGTTATAACGGGAGAGCCTACCCCACTACAAATTACCTAATTTCTACTAACATATACACCTGTTCAAGCGTTGACTCAGAGCATTACTGGCGCTGCTCACTTCCTGTGTACTAATTGGGAACGAGAGTATTTACCGAGGGGGAGTGGCTAGGAGTGGAGAATAGGACGAT